CACCCACTCACCCACTCACTCACTCACTCACTCACTCACTCACTCACTCACTCACTCACTCACTCACTCACTCACTCACTCACTCACCCACTCACCCACACAATCAAAGTCAACGATATCAGGTACATGCCGGCTGCCGGCGGTATATTTAACGCGTGCAAAGCCGCATTGGATAGTCTGAGGAGGTAGAGAGAAATCAAACAGTTAGAAATGAATGATTAGACCACGCAAAGTTTGATAACATTCGTATATTTTCAGTACAGTTGTCTTGAACACACGCCAAACGCCCAAACCCAGTTCATCCTATTCAGCACCTTCCAAAGTTTTTGGTCGAGTTGAGCCTTGCACTGGCGGTAGCACCCGGGAGCTTAGAGTAAGGCGGCTCCGCGTTGGTCTCAAAATAGAAGGACCCCCGGGCCCTGGAAGAAAAATAAAAATGTTGTGCTCTCTGTGTCTTGGCACCTCAGACTCATAATATGCATAATGATAAGCGAGAGATCCCACGTGTAGCAGGTGGCTGCGTAGTCCCGGCCCCCGCCTCGTCCGCCGCACCGCCCACTTCCGCGGCAGCTTAGACTGTACCTCCTGTACGCGTGGGCGCGGGTTGCCTATACGCCCGGGCGGGAGGCCGCCCAGTTACTTTTACCCGTTTACTCAGGTAACCCGAGTACCCGCCCGCCCGGAACCGGGTACCGGGGTTGTGGCCCCGGCTGAACCGCGCCTGTAGGTAGGCAATTTACATACCGGGTCTGCCCGGGTTGCCCAGGTTACCCGGTGCAACTCGGTAAGACCCATTTATTCGGTTCCTACCCGGGTTATCCGAGTACCCACGAGTCCGGGTTTTGAGAGCCCTAACAGACTTATCTTATGCTGATCAAGGTGTCGACCCCTGGCGACCGCGGCTCCACCCTTTGTCTGGTATGTCACTCACCACCGCGGTCCTCTTTTCAACCTTACACCTACCTGCGGTCGAGGCCCAGCCCCAACTCTGCGGTCGCGTTTCCGGCGCACACCCCCGCCTTGTAGTCGTCCCAGCCGGTGCAGCTGGTGCCGACGAAGGCTCCGGGGGTCTCCATGGACTCGAGGAGCAGCGAGTAGCCGCGGCAGTGGCTGCAGGTACCTACGGGCACTTCAAGAAGCATTTCTGTAGGAGATCACTTTCAACTGTACAAGGATGGGTTCAACTAGAATTTAGCCAATTTGATATATTGACAATCTAAGGTAAACTTGTGGCAAATGGCAAACCTACCGGCGTCCAGTCCGCAGCCGGGCTGCACCCAGGTGCCGCCGTTGGGGTAGAAGTCCACGTGGCCGATGGGGTCCCAGTAGCCGAGCACCGGGGCGCACGTGTGGATCACGTCCACGAAGCCCGCGTCAGACTTGTCGAGGCGCACGGCGGGGTCGTTCCAGAACAGCGGCCCGGCAGGGTCCAGCGCTGTGGGCAGAGGGAAGTAGTAGTGCAGGGGGACTTCAGCTGAGGAACATAGCGATTGGTGCATGCAGCCGCGTCGTGGCTGCGCCGGGCCCGTAGGCAGCCCATCGAGCGCGGACCGCCCCGCCGCGCCCCGCCCCGCCTCTGTGCCCCGCCCCGCCCCGCCCCGCCACACCGCGCTCCGCTGAGTGCTGTATCGGGCGGGCGTATCCTTGGACGGGCCGCCCCGCCGGTCACATAGGCAGCCCATCGGGCTCCGCAGGAACTCAACCGGCCAGCCGACCCGGGCCCGGAGGGGGCACTGAGCACAGCCATTGTCGATGATAGAATCACTTTTAGAGACATGTCCGCCGGCTCGCGGCCGCCCCCTTGTTGCACAACAAGACCTCCGCCGCCGCCGGCGACCTTCTCTCCTCGCTCTCGCCAACATGATCTCTCTGGATCGGAATCGGGACCGTAAGAGAGGCGGGAACCACCACGCAACCGGCAAACCCACGTTACAGGATGTGTCGACGAGAGGCAACGAGTCCCTGCACCGCCGCCGCCGCCGCGGCCAAGCGGGCGTACTCGGCCGTGTAAGTTTAATGAAAAATTCAGAGGCCTTTCTGTCTAACATACATTTGTTTCCCCACATCTACACCTGAATTCACTGAGAACGACAATATGCAGGTTTTATGTAAAGACATAAACTGCTGTTTTGGTTTGAAAATGTTGTGAGTACTCACCAGTGATGCGGCCGTGCTTGCCCAGTCCCGCCGTGCGGCCGGCGAAGCCCATGGCGTGCGCGCCCAGGGAGTGACCGATGAGGTGCAGGTCCGAGAAGTCGATGCCGCCGCTCATGTACAGCTGGCCGATGAGGTCGCCGATGAGCTCCCCCAGGGTGCTGACCAGCCACCGGGAGCCGAGGTAGTTGATCGAGTCGGCCTGCGACCAGTCCACCAGGATCACGTTGTAGTCCGAGATCTCCAGCAGCGCTGCGTGTGTGGCAGACAAGCGTGGCATTGAGGAATCAGGGAATAAATAATGCATCTCGGCATAACGAAAGCCACGTACTCGACGGACGATTCGGCACGACCGCTTGTGCGTCGCGCCCTCCAGCTGACTTATTAAAGTGTACTACTCGCCCTCTTATCGAAGAGTCATTTGCGCGTGTGATGATGCCTGCCCACCAGTGGCTGAGTGTCTGCCTTACTTTTCCTTCAGGCGCGACAGGTGACTTATCGCGGAGAATTTGTAACAGGCTATCGAGACTACTGCTTCCATTCCACAATGGTTGCGCTTCCGCGCATGAGGCGACGATATGAAGCAGGGCCCCATTTAGAAATACAAGCAAAAACTTTGACCCGACTTTGACCCGATTTTCTTTCGATATCGGTTTGAAATTCATTTCTTACGGGCTTTTGTGGCATTTTCCTTGCCGTGCAAATGGTGGTGTTGCCTGCGATAATTTTTTGCATAATCGGTGGGCCCTTACCGTCTTTTAAGATGGCTCCGCCCTTGGACTTGGTCTCGCCAGACAGCCACCCGTGGACCAAGATTTTGGTCGGCACAAGTGGGTTAAATTTGGACTTTTCGAGGAACGTGTCGTTGTAGGCATCCAACTTCTGGCCATTTTCTGAATAGAGTCTAAAAATAAGAAGGAATTACAATTATTACTGTTTAAAATATATACAAGTTTGTTTTGGAAGCGCATTTGGCGCATTGATTGTATGTTTTACCTGGTGTAAAGCTTAATATCGACTTTGTTGTTAAGATCCTTCGCTTTTCTACTGCTGCCTGATCTTTTGTTTACACCGCCTGGAACGAAAAAAAAATGTCATTCGTGGCAAGCAGCTTTGTCATCATATAGACCTTTAATCACATTTCAAAAACATGTTGACAATAATCATGACAAATATCGACAAATATACAGTTTGTACAGTTGCGCATGAAAGTAGCATATGAAACGTCCACAACGATGTCCACAACACGAGCGACTCCCCTACACACAAAACGACACACGAATGATGACGAGTACACCCGCGGTTCCCATGGGCGACATACAATGATACTGCGATGATGAGCGCGCGCCCTCCTTACCTGGGACAACCAGTCACCCCCCACCGCCTGCCCCTTGCTCTTCGTGCCTAAAATTGAACCGCACGCGCGAAGGACGAGATAAAGTTTCACGGTGGCCATGTTGTTTCACGACTTTCAATTTCAAATAGTAAGATGTCGCCGCCCTTGCGTCTAATCTCCGAGTCTGCGATACACCTGCCTCTGCTCCCGCAGCCTTCACCCGCGCAGGAACGCACTCGTGGCCGTGGCCGCGGAGCAGCAGGAGCACCTGGCCGTCAAACAACAACAGGAGGCGGTCCAGCAGCGAGCGGCCGCGCGGGGACTCGCCGTGGCCCCGCCGCGCCGGCCGGCCCGCAGGACGATCATGCAAGGCAACCTTTGCGGCGCACGCGTGTGTTGCGTTAGGCGGGGGAGGAGGGGGCCGCCGTCGCGCCGGCCGGCCGGCCTCCTGGCCCGCCCCGCCCGCCCAGGCAGCCACTGCTAATGTGTCGCCACTCATATCGGAGGAAGCATTAAACTTGTTGGAGAGAAGAAAAAAATTAACTTGAACGCCATCACTGCAAACGCGCACTTCTACAGCATCACTCTGAAAGGCAAACTCTTTTTCAGACCGTGAAACATTTTCGAGGTTCCCATCATTAAGGGCGTAAACAGGCGTGGATTAAGGGGGGATGGGCGATCGCCCCCCTGTCGTCTCTAGAGAGCCGCCTAAAAGATAGGCAATTTGCACCACAAAACTCCTGTATGTAGGCAACCGACAGTGAATCGCCCCCCTGTCAGCCGGACCTTAATCCGCGCCTGGGCGTAAAGGCACGTACGGCTCAAGACCTTCTTCAAAAATAAAACTCAAACCTAGTACACTCTATGGACATCTTAGTGTTTTAAAATTTCCAGAGTCTTGGAAAAAAGTTTGGGAGAAAATGTTTTTCATGTTGTTGTGGACACTATTTCTGTCCTCTAAATCGCCTAGCGGGTGCTCACCTGCTGCTGCGAGGGCGGCCGTCGCGAGGACCACCAGCATCAGCGCGGACAGGAGGGGCGAGGGCGCGGCCATGGTATGGTGTGTGGGGTCGGGTCGGAGAGGCTGGTCGTGCTGCACTGCGGCTGCTCGTCTCGACGGGTCGCGGTGTCGACTCGCTCTACGCCCCGAGCGCGCCGGGCGCGGACCAAGTCTGCACTCTCCCGCCCCGGCCGCGCAGCGTTGCGCCACTCCCCGCCACTCCCCGCCACGCCCCGCCACGCGCCGCCACGCCGTGTAGACAGGTGGACGAGTATGTACTCAAGTGAAGACAAGAAGTGGCGAGGTGCACTGCCGAGTGGTCGCGCCCGCCCGCCC